CAAGTACACTCATTACACACCAAACCAGTAAATCCCATTACTTTCTTGGACACTTTTCTGTTTATGTATTTCTTATTCTTACTGTTACTATAATGGTTAGTTTTCATCTTATACTTGAACTACTGGAATCATTTTTCTGGATTCCTGTCTCCAATCCATCCTACATGTTGAATTGAGTTCCTAAAATACTTATCGCACTTTTATTTTCCTGTACCCTCAAATCTATAACTCCTACCCCTGCCTGCTCCATCAAGTTAAAATTCCTCAGCGTGAGTTGGGCATAGTGGCATATGTCTGTAATCATAGCGACCTGGCATGCTGAGGCAGGAGGATTCCAAGTTCAAGGCCAGCTTCAGCAACTTAGTGATGACCTTTCTCAAAAATAAATATTTTAAAAAGGTGTAGTTCAGTGGTACTGAGTTAAATCCCCAGTACTCCTCCCTGTACCCCCCAAAACAATCCCTCAGCATGGCTTTTCTTTTTTTCCTTTTGGTACCAGGGATTGAATCCAGAGGTGCTTAACCACTGAGTCACATCCCCAGCCCTTTTTATTTTTTATTTTGAGACAGGTCTTCTAAGTTGTGTAGGGCCTCACTAAGTTGCTGAGGCTGGTTTTGAACATACCATCCTCTTGCCTCAGCCTCTGAGCCACTGAAATTACAGGCATAAGCCATTATGCTTGACTCAGCATGACTTTTCTCATGCTGAGTAAAACCTAAATTCTATTTATAACCTTCAAAGCCCTAGAGAACCCAGCTTTGCTACTTCTATGACTTCATCTTCTCCCATACTCCCTTTCACTCAGTCCATTCCAGATACATATGCTATTTTATCTGTCTAAGCATAAATCCATCTTTACCTTTATTCCTTACTTGGAAGCTCTTCCTCAAGACATCCAGAGAGCTCATTATTTCACCTCTTCCCAGATTTATTCAAATATTACTTTCTTTAATAAAACTTTTAAAAAATTGTTCTAATTTATTATACATAACAGTATAATGCATTTTGACACATTGTACATGAATGGAGCACATTCCGGCTGAACATAGTACAGTCTGGCTGTACATAGTACAGTCACACCAGTAGGATAATCATACATGTGTATAGGGTAATAATGTTTGTCTCATTCTATGGTTTTTTTCCCATCCCCACAGCACTGCTTCCCCACCCCCACACAATCCAAAATTCCTTCATTCTTCCCTACCCTACCCTACCACCACTATGGATCAGCATCCGCTTAGCAGAGAAAATATTTGGCCTTTGTTTTCGGGGGAGTGGCTTATTTACCTTAGTATAATATTCTCTAGCTCCATCCATTTACCTGAAAATGCCATAATTTCATTCTTCTTTAAGGGTGAGTAATATTCCATTATATATATGTACCACACTTTCTTTATTCATTCATCTGTTGAAGAACATCTGGGTTGGTTCCGTAGTTTAGCTATTGTGAATTGATCTGGTATGAACATTAATGTGGCTGCATCATTGTAGTATGCTGATTTTAAGTCCTTTGGGTATAAACTGAGGAGTGGGATAGCTGGGTCAAATGGTCCATTCCAAGTTTTCTGAAGAATCTCCATACTGCTTTCCACAGTGGTTGCACCAATTTGCAGTCCCACCAGCAATGTATGAGTGTACCTTTTTTCTCACACCTTTGCCAACAAATATCACCTTATTAAAGAAGTCATCTCTGAACATTCTGTCCAATAACCTACTTACCCTGTTCACTCTCTCCCTTTTACCCTTTTCTGTTGCTTCCTAGCTCTTCTCATCTTTGTTACATATCTGTGTTTATCTTTCTTCAATGAAATATAAGTCTATACATCAATTTTAAGGTAACTATGTGTATCTAAGAAATAGACTGTCAGAAAGTGAAGACTGGGGACTATGTTTTATTCACCTATGTATTTTTAGCACTTGGGGCTCACACTTAACAGGCATTCAGTAGACCTTTTAGGAGAGGTGTGCTGGGACTGAACCCAGGGTCTCTGGCATGCTAGGCAAACATTCTACCACTGAGCCTCACCCCCAGAAAAACCATTTTGAATGAATACATTTACAGCATCATTTCTTGGGCTGGGACTAGAGCTCAGTGGTAGAGAGCTTACCTAGCATATATGAGGCCCCAGGTTCCATCCCCAGCATTAAAAAAAAAAAAAAAAAAAAAAAAAGGTGTTATTTCTTTTAATCTTCTGACTCTGTCAGTTTTCATTGATCCACTAGTATATGTTCCTATTGCACTTATGGCCTAAACTATATCACTAGTACTTGTTTCTAAACTGTTTCCTCTCTATTTTTTTTTAATCTTTTTTTAGAGAGAAACAGAGAATTTTTTTTTTTAGTTTTTGGCGGACACAACATCTTTGTTTTTGTATGTGGTGCTGAGGATTGAACCTGGGCCTCACGCATGCCAGGCTAGCGCGTTACCGCTTGAGCCACATCCCCAGCCCTATGTTTCTCTTTCTTTCTTTTAGGTTCTTAGCTACTGTGCTACATTGTGTCCCATCTGATACAGGCCTAATGACTATAGCTAAAATGGTGTCAACCCTTGGTCAGGTCCTATGTTCTCTGGGAAAGTCTGAAAATATACTAGCAAATAGCAGCACCTCTTTTTTTTCTTTTCTAACTTCAAATCTCTCCCTCTATCATCACCCACTCTATACACATCTTGACATCATAGTATCAGAAGTGTGAGAAACAACTTTGCCTCTATATCTCCCATATGCTTATTTATTTATTTATTTTTAATATTTATTTTTTAGTTGGACACAATATCTTTATCTTATTTATTTTTATGTGGTGCTGAGAATTGAACCCAGGGTCTCGCATGTGCTAGGCGAGCGCTCTACCGCTGAGCCACAACCCCAGCACTTATTAATTTTTTGCAGTAGTAGGGACTGAACTCAAGGGCACTTTACTGCTGAACTACATCCCCAACCCTTTTATTTTTTTATTTTGAAACAGGTTCTCCATAAATTGCCTAGGATGATCTCAAATTTGCAATCCTCTTGCTTTAACCTCCTGAGTCACTGGGATCACAGACCTGCACCACTGTGCCCAACTCTATAAACTTATTTTTTCTTCATGACACTATTTGATGAATGACCTCACCAGCTCCTTCATTCACTAATTCACTCAATTAATTTAAAAATTTTACTGAAGGCCGTCCATATGTCAGGCACTGTACCAGACACTAGGTAAAAAGAGAAAAGTACAGACAAGCTCTCTGCCTTCTGTGGAGGTTAACAAAATGTAAACATAAATACATATATATTTTAACATTTCTAAATTAGTAAGTTTATTGAGGAACTAGTGCTAAGACAGAGACTAGCAAGCAAGATCCTGGTTTGGATAGTATGTTAGGATAGGAGATGACAGTTAAGCTGTTATCCAAATTATGAGAAAGCTAGCTAGACAAAGAGAGAAGATGGAGAGAAAAAGTGGAGAGAAAAAGCCCAGAGGCAGGAATGACCTTGCTGTGGCAGGCAAAGCAGAGTGGTATGATACAGGATTGGACAAGTAGAGGGTGCCAGAGCAATGAGAGCCCTATAAGCCTTTGCAGAGTGTTCAGAGGCTTTAGAGAGCAATTCAAGAATTGTAAATGGCAGCAACTTGATATAATTCATGCTTTGAAATAAATCACTTAAAGAAAAAAAATCCATCCTGCTGGGTGTGGTAGCATACACCTGTAATCTCAGGGACTCAGGAGGCTGATGCAGGAGGATCTCAAGTGTAAAGCCAGCCTCAGCAACTTAGCAAGGCCCTAAGAAACTTAGCAAGACCCTGTCTCAAAATAAAAAATAAAAATAAAAAGGGCTAGGAATGTGGCTCAGTGCTTAAGCATCCCTGAGTTCAATCACCAGAACTATAGGAAAAATTGTTCAGATGCTGTGAGGACAATTGATTGGAGGGGAAAGAATGGAGTTATTGCTATAACAAGTGACCAAAGATGATCTTAAGTAAATTGTAATAGTAGAGATGGAGAGAAGTGTAGTTAAAACTTTGCACTTTAAGGGCTGGTGTTGTAACTCAGTGATAGATCACTTGCCTAGTGTGCAGGGTGTGCTAAATTCAATCCTCAGGAAAAAAAGAAAACTACTTTGGACTTTGCTTTTACCTCGCTGAACTACATGCAATCAATCATGAACTCTTGCAGATTTCAACCTCTAGTTTCTCACACATGATTATTTCTCCATTCCTATTGACCCAACCCAGTTCCTTGTTACCTCTCATTTGCATGATTGCAGCAATCTCATTACTGAATTGATCTCAGCTTTCAATCTTGAGTTATTGCAATACAACCCACATATTTTCAACTACAAAATTCCCACCATAGTTTTATACTGGTCAAAACCTCCTTAAGATTTCAGTTTGGTAAGCAATGACCCCAATGTTTTAAGCCAATACTATACAGTTAAACCATAATATTTGCCTAATGCTTTTTCCCTTATCTATTCCTATTTGTATGTTATTATATATTTATTTAGGTGCTGAGGATTGAACTCAGGGGCACTTCACCACTGAGTTACATCCCTATCCCCCCCCCCCCTTTTTTTTTGGATTGAACCCAGGGATGTTTTTCCACTGAGCTACATCCCCAACCCTTTTTAATTTTAATTTGGGAACAGTCTCTCGCTAAGTTGCTTAGAATCTCATTAAATTGCTGAGGCTGGCCTCAAACTTGCAATCCTTCTGTGTCAGCCTCCCAAGTCACTGAAATTACTGGCATGTGCCACTGCCTCCGGCTAAAAGGGTACTTTTAAGAAACCGATGTGATGGATAACTTTTTCAAGTGAGGCATCAGTATTCCTTTCTCTTCTAGGCCAGTGGGTCGCTAAATCCTCTTGGGGCTGGTGTGGGGAGGGACGCTCAAGCTACTAGAGTGGGTGGCAGGTGTGGAGTGGTTACCAGACCCTGAGAGGGCGGAACTTATTGCGTGCGGTGCTGCGGCCCTGCGGACCTTAGCTAGTGAGGCACCCTCTGGCCCGGAAGGAGCTGACGTGAGCTGGGGTCCGGCAGCCATAGCGCTTTGCAATTCGGCCTCAGAAAGTGTAGGGCCGACTCGGAGGAAGGAATTACGTTCATTCCAGTCTCAGGTGAGTGGCAGCCCCTGCGGACCGGCGGGCAGCAGCTGTGTACCCAGAAAGAAGGCGCACTTTAAAGCTTAGGTCCACCCTGAGCTCCTGCTGGTGGCCCTGAGATGAAGAGTCGCCAGTTCTTCGCCCGGAATCGGGCGTCTAGAGGGACGACGAGTCCGGACAGTGCTCTTCGGGGCCACCCTGGTGTCCCTCTGGGCAGGACCTGGCTGCTGTCAGGCGCTGTTATTTCAGGAAAGCGCGAGATGACAGCAGGCGAGCCCCTTCATGGGCACCAGTTTCCTCCCCTGGTAAGGCGAAGGCAGCGGGGATCATTGACAGCTGGGGAGGCTGTGACACGGCGTGTTGTTTTTAGCTTTTCCAGTTTGTCGAGGAGGCAAATCGAGCTTGCTTCCTGGCAGTAGTTAACATTTTGCCATAGCCAAGTCCCAGCTGAGTGGGAAAAAGGTTCACTTTAGAAAGCCAAAGATTTACAAAGTGTTCAACATTTTTCCTACGAGATAGAAATTTGTTTTGAAACAGCTAAAACTCCGGTATCGTTAGTCGAAAGAACTACATTTGTCAGGAATTTAAGCTATTTGGTATATTGGGCAAAATGAGGTGGAGGAATCCACTTAACTTGAAAAATTAAGCCTACTATTGTTTGTTTTCGTGTTCTTACTTCAAGCTCTATGTTATCATGTTGTCTTATTCTGAAGAACTACGTTGAATGATAAAATATCGGTTAAGAATCCCTCAAGTCACCTTGAATGAACCATACGTGGTGTCAGAAACCTGTAATCCCAACTACTTGGGAGACTGAGACAGGAGGATTATGGGTTCCAGGCCAGCCTCAGCAATTTAGCAAGACCCTGTCTCAAAATAAAAAAAATAAAAAGGACTGGGGATATGGCTCAGGGGTAAAATATGCCTAGGTTCAGTCCCCTTTGAGTGGGGAGGGGGAAAATGAGGGATATAAGTGGCATTGTAGCAGATGAGAAAGGAAAAAGAACATTTATTTACTTTCAACTATGTGTAAGGGGCTGGAATAGTCTGCCAAGGAAAGTAGTGGTATCATCTCTTTTTCAGATGATGAATAAAGGAAGATTTACAATTTGTTAGTAATTAGTGGTGCCAGTATAGAAGAACAGTATGTATTTACTGTTGTATCTTTAAGTAGATTTGTGTTTGTCACCAGGATATTTTGAACTTTAAAAATTCAGAGGCAACCAAGCTAGGTGGCTTGGGCCTGTATGACTAGGAACTCAGGAAGCTGAGATGGGAGGATCAGTTGAGCCTAGGAGTTGGAGGCCAGCCTGGCATCATAGCAAAACCCTATCTCAAGAAAAAAAAATTTAAGATGTTCATTGGCAGTTTCTGAGTTTGCAGAAAAGGAAAGTGTCTTTGTTTCATAAATGTTAGAGAAGCTGTGTAATTATGAAGGTTAGCAGTTTAAATATGGTGCATTTTAACCTTCTTTTGCCTTGTACTATTGTGCTAGAGTAGTAATTCAAGCAAAACTTGACACAAAAGATTAGTCTATCACAAATTGAAATCACAGCCACATCATTTCAAGCTTACAAACTAGAATTCTATAGTAATGATTCATCATTTCTCCACCCCTTTCTTTAAGTACACAATTGACTAAAACTCTTTAAATTATTTAATTTCTCAGCAGAATATTACCAAGCAAATAATCACAGTGAATCACAGTGTTGAAAGTTCTCTCTCTCTCTCTCTCTCTCTACTGGAGATCAAACCCATGGGTGCTTTGCCCGTGCTTTTTCTTCTCCCCAAGACAGGGCCTCACTAAGTTGCTGTCAATGGCATGGTACTTGAAATCCTCCTACCTTAGCCTCCCAAGTCTCTCAGATTATAGGTATGTGCCATGGCACCAGGCTAAGATTTCTCTTTCTTGTATCTTTTTTTTGGGGGGGTGGGAGTACTAGGGATTAACTCAGGAGCATTTACCCACTGAGCCACATCCCCAGCCCTATTTTTTGTATTTTATTTAGACATAGGGTCTCACTCTGTGTCTAAATAAAATAGACACAGTTGCTTAGCACCTTAATTGCTGAGGCTGGCTTTTTTTTTGAAGAGAGAATTTTTTTAATATTTATTTTTTAGTTTTCGGTGGACACAACATCTTTATTTTATTTTTATGTGGTTCTGAGGATCGAACCCAGCGCCCCGCGCATGCGTTACCACTTGAGCCACATCCCCAGCCCCTGAGGCTGGCTTTGAACTCAAGATCTTCCTGCCTTAGCCTCCCAAGTTGCTAGGATTACAGGCATGCACCACTGTGCCGGGCAATTAATTAAGTCTGAATGAGCTAAATCCATCTGTGCCTCTATAATAATCATTTGTATTATCACATCTCATCAATCTTAACAATATTGTGAGGCAAGTGATATTCCTATTATATATATACTAAAGGCAAAGGGCTCAGGAAGACTGATTGGCTTTCCTAGAATGAAACAATAGTATTAAAATGGTGCATTTTATCTCTTTTTGTCTCCTTTGTTTTTTTGTTTTTTTTTTTCTTCTTTCCTTTTTCTTTTTTGGTGGTGCTGGAGACAAAATCCAGGGTCTCACACATAGTGGGCACATGTTCTACCACCCCAAGACCTTGAAAGAGACATTCTAAATCTAAATAGTTTTGTTTTTGGTACTTCGGATTGAACCCAGAGGCACTTTACCACTGAGCCATATCCCAGCCCTTTTTATTTTTTATTTTGAGACATGGTCTCGTTAAGTTGCTTAGGGCCTTGCTAAGTTGCTGAGGCTGGTGATCCTGCTACTTCGGCATCCCAAATTGCTGGGATTGTAGGCACCACACCTGGCCAAATACAAATAGTTTTTATTCTAGGACAGATATTGTCTTTATTTCACTTTGACTCTACTGTGATTTTCATCCCAAAATTATTAATGAATTGATTCTGTAATCATATTAAAGTTCATACCAGACTGGGAATATAGCTGAATGGTAGACCACTTGCCTAGCATGCATGAGGCTCTGAGTTGGATCCACAGCACCACAAAGGAAAAATAAAATTATCAAAATGATTTTGCTTAATTATTCATATAAATGAGTAATAAATATAAAATGTTCATGTAAATTTTAAAATTTTTCCTTTTTTTTACTTAACGGCTTTATTGATCTACAGTGTCATACCATAAAGTTTACCCTTTTAAAGTGTTCAGTTCAGTGTTGTTAGTATAGTCTAGTGTTGTACAAATATCACCACTAATCCAAAACATTTTAATTACCTCAAGAAACCCATTAGCAATGGCTCCCCACTTTCCCATTTCCCAGACTGACAACCACTAATCTACTTAGTCTAAGGTTTGGCCTGCTTTAGAAATTCCATGTAAAGGGAGTTGTCCATAAACATTTAATGGAACAAAGTTTTTTTGTAATGTGAGAAGTTCTGTTCCATTATAGCCTTTGCACTGATTTTCATGTTACTTAAGTAGATCACTTTTTAATCTGCCTAGGGCCTTTTCCTGTTTGGTGTTCATGGAATAAATAAACCTGCTGACGTGTATATGTTTCCTTGTTCTTGACCTTTGCTCTTCACATGTCTTAATAGTGTGTTCATGGTGTTGTATAACCTGTTCTCAGGGCTCAGGTATCTGGAGCTAAGTAACTTTTATTCTTAGTTGGATATTCTTACTTCTATTTAAACAACAACAAAAATAATTCCATTTCTAATAATTTTTAGTTTGTTTTAAGGTTGTTATAAATCACAAGAGAATTATAAACGTCTCTTTGGAAGTAGAGTTTCTCTATGTTATTATGTTATTTCTGTGTGGGTCAAGTTTTACAACAACAAATTGATACCATTCTTATGCAAAAAGTCCTTTTTTTTTTTAATCATTCTTCACCTACCAACCATTATTTCCTTTGAGGACTTTGTCTTTCTATAGCAGTGCCCTCTACTCTTCTAGATGATTCCACTGCCTGTCACTGTGGACATTGTACCCTCTAGTCTGGCTTCTCTTTATCTGTCCAAGTCAGAGCCAGACCTTGGAGCTTGCCATCACCCAGACCTAAACTTCTCTTGAATTCTTGAATCCCATATTCTTCATTTTACTGGTATAATTCTGGCCCAACCTTCACCTCTCATCCAATCTCAACTACACCTTTGTTTTGGCTTACAGACTTTCTCCCTATTTTCCTGGTTCTGTTTTGTGAGAAGCATCACCACCATCCCCCCTATATACTAGTGACTATACACCTTTATTCACTCAGCCTGGACTTCTGATCAGATCACTTCAGTACCTTTGATCAGTACTTTTCAAGTCTTGTCCTTTTTCATCCCAATCCTGAAAGTCCCTAATCTCCGGTGTCTAAAGCCAAGCATTGCTGGTTGGGGGGTCAAGGGTCAAAAATTAGTGTTGATTGGCACTGTTTGAATGTTTGCTTTTCAAGTCCACCCCAGCCCTTAGATCTCTTTAGCAATATCCACCAACCACCACACCATTCCAGGAATTGAACCCAGTGCCTTACACATGCACACTCTACCACTGAGCTATATCCCAAGCTCTTTAGCAATCATTTAACTTGATTTGTTTATTCCTCACAGTGGGTATTCTGATGCTTGCTCTGTTCAAAATTTCTCTACACCCTTTCCTTTTGGAGTCAGATTCCTGCCACCTTCACAGATTTCCTGGTATTTCTTCCTTGTGCTCTTAGAGGAAGAGATACCTCTCAGTTCAAGCTCCTCTTCAGACTTTGTCCCTTCCTTTTAGTTTAATTTTTTTCCCTCTTAATCTCTCCTTTCCCAGTAGTTCCTTCTCTTCCCTTATCATCATACTGAAGCCTCACCCATCCTTGAGAAAATCTCATTCATTTCATTCAAACTTTTTTTTAATGTTTATTTTTTAGTTGTAGTTGGACACAATACCTTTATTTTTTTATTTTTATGTGGTGCTGAGATGGAACCCAGGGCCTTGTACATGCTAGGCGAGTGCTCTACCACTGAGCCACAACCCCAGCCCCCCATTCAAATTTTTGA